ATCTATAGGATTCAGAGAGTGAACTTCTCTTACAGAAACATCTATAGGATTCAGAGAGTGAACTTCTCTTACAGAAACATCTATAGGATTCAGAGTGAGCTTTTCTTTCCTATAGAAACATCTATAGGATTCAGAGAGTGAGCTTCTCTTTCCTACAGAAACATCTATAGGATTCAGATGCTAAAATACACTTTCCCATTAAGCTTCAAGTTTGAGTATTTTACCAAACATTTTTCTACTAATAGAGAAGTCTCTTACTCATGAAACTACCCACATTTCTATTCTTTTCTAGGGAACAATGGACTAAAAAAACCAGATATATTTAAAAATTGCAAAATATCCTGAATCAGTCACATCAGCCTTTGAGAGCACCAGGAAGGGATAGGACAGGAACCAATTTTTCAAGTAATATATAACTTGGAAGCACCCGAACTTCTACTAAACAAAATTAATTATTCTAGCTACAAACTGACACATTCTCTTCATCTATTTGTGATCTAGATTTTTCAAATATTTAATCAATAAACAACATAAGTTCTTAATCATTCCTTCTAACTTCCTTTAAAGTGGCATCCCAAACTACCTTAGGTAGTCATAAATTATTCTCTTTATGCTGTTACATCCACCTTTTCAAACTATCTACAAGGAACTGGAGATAACGGCTAGGTGGTTAAGAGTGTACACCACTCTGTAAAGACCCACACTTTGTTGCCAGCTCCATGACAGGCAGCTGACAACCTACAGCTTAGGAGATCTGATGGCGTCTTTCAGATGTACACGTGCACAGACATATACACACAGATCTGATACTCCTTCTCCTACTCTGTAGGGACCTGAGCTCACATGTGCACAGACATGTGCATAAATACATGTGTGCGCATACACACATACTTTTAAGAAACAAAAATCTTAGCCGGGTGGTGGTAGTGCACGCCCTTAGTCCAGCACCTAGGAAGCAGAGGCAGTACAAGATCTCTGAGTTCAAGTCCAGTCTGATCTACAGAGTGAGTTCCAGGATAGCCAGTGTTATACATAGAACTCCTGTCTTGAAAAAACAAAAAACAAAACAAAACAAAAAAAAAACAAAAACAAAATCTGTTTTTTTAAAAATTGAAAAAAAATCTTCATAAATATCATAAGATAGATTTTCTTATGTTGTATGTTTCTGAATTTCCAAACTAGCCCTCATAAAACAACAGACTATTAGTTTTGAAACCTTGAACATTCAGATAAAAAATGTTTTTTGAACTAGGTATTCTCCACTGAGCTAGGGAAGGTCAGAGAATAAGGTGTGGTGGCTGACCATGAAGAACTTCTATCTAAGTGAGGAAATTACACAGGCAATGATGTTTCCTGAAAAAGGGAAATATGTTACTGTGATGTAGAGAAAATAGATGTTTACAAGTGGAGATGTAGTATTACTGTCATTCTGAGTAGAGAGGCAAACAAGGTTGCTGGTGCGGGGCCACACTCTGGAGGGCTGGCCAGTCTGGCAGAAGTGGAGCCGTGGACATTTCTGTACGGCAGGATGAACTTAGGGAGAGGAGCTCTCAGCACTCACGGCTGCAGATGTCTGCTGGTGGAGTGGAGACAGCTTTCAAGCAGGACTGCACCGAGTGCTTAGGACATCCTCTAACCAGCTCTCTGGGTCCGCACAAAGCCTTAGCTGTAAATGCTCTTTTTTCTCTCTCCTTCTACCTCCCTTCCTCTTCCCTTGCCTGTCTTTCCACCCCCTTCTCTTCTTTCTTCATTTCTTTTTCTTCCTAAGTAGGCCACAGACTGGCCTAGAATGGATTATATGGCTCAGGTAGAACTCGAGACTCAAGTTTTAAGACCACCCTGCCCGGAGGTGGGGATCAGGTGTGCACCATCTCATGTGGCTCGTAGCCTTGGGTGGTTTATGTTTTATATGAACTGGCAATCTCACAGGATCTAGAATCATCAGGAGACAAGCCTCAGCATGTCTGTAAGAGATTATCCTGATTAGATTAACTGAGGTGGGAGAACCTACCCTAAATGTGGGTGGCACCATTCCAGGAGTAGGCGTCCTAAAATGAACATAAAGGAGAAATGGAGCCATCGACAGCATTCATCACATTCTGCTTCCTTACTGTGGATGCAATGTCACCAGCTACCTCATGATCCTGTTGGCACAATTTCTTCATCAGGATGGACTGTGCACCCTTGAAACGTGAGCCCAAATAAACCACTCCTTCTTAAGTAGCCGTAGTCAGGTGTTTGTCAGTGACAAAACAAGTAACTAAAAAACTGTATAGGTTTCACTACAGTTTATATGCTTTCTCCATTTCTTTCTTTAATATATCTATTTTACTATATATGTTACAAATAATATATTATATATATGAAAATACATAGGCAGATGAATAATAAACAAGAGAAGTAAGAACTGAAGGTAGCATAATTAATTAGTTCTAACTTGAAAATTATTGCTACAAAGCATTTATATTTACCTGAAATTAATGTGAAAATAAAATGGCTTTTAAAAAGTTACTGCATCTAATACCATGAAAGTTTTAATGTACACATCTCCTAACCATTAAATTCACTTAAATATAGATGAAGCTCATGGTTATTATCATGTCCTACTTTGTGAACAATTTAATATTTATGAATATTAAGAACAAGTAACTTTATCATTCAACTCAGTACATTATCAAAATGTACTATATAATTACACTTAGCTGGAGTAGATAAGATAAATCGGTATTGATTTTACCTTTGCTTTAGTCGTCTTTTAGCTGTTGTGGGAACATTAGCACCATAGCCATAGGAATAAAGAATCCTTTCAGCCTCATCTTCATTTTCAACTGAAAAATATTAAAATATGTGATGTGAAATAGTGTTTTTCCTTAAAAATCATAGCAGAAGTGAAAGTAAAAGATGATAACAGATTAAGAATCCCAGGAACATTCATAAGGGCTAATGCATAATTTAAGAGAGGTGAAGCATATTAAAGTGTATCCTTGCTTAGAGTTGCTGATTTATTTTCAGAAGGTGTTAAAGGATTACATCACCTGATAGGCTATGTTTTCTTATAGAGCAAAATAACTCAGTTATGGTATTCTAAAGGATTCAAAGGCTTTTAACATGAACTATATATTATAGAATTCAACAGAATTATAAAATCAATTTAATAAAGGTAAGTTTTGTTTTGTTTTTGAGACATGTTCTCATGTAGCCTAGGCTTCTCTTGAACTTACTACGTCAAGGATGGCCCTGGGGTACTGATCCTCCTACCTCCACTTCCTGAGTACTGAGTGTATTTCTGATTACAGAAATATACAACCATGCTGGGGTTACATGATGCTGAGGATTGAATCTAAAGCTTCCTAAATGTTAGGCAGAAAATCTACCCTTAGAGCTAATCTCTAATCACTGAAAGATATGCTTGGCATTAATTTTATAACTGTAAAACAATTCAGGGAAAGTAACTTAAAAAATACTGCAATTGTCACAGAACTGCCTATAAGGTGTTTGAACAAATAGATCAGTTTCTTAATGGGTAAAAGTTTAAATGTAATGCCATTTTAATTTTTTTTTTTGTGTGTGTGTTTGTGTGTGTCTGTGTGCATGTATTTATGTAGAGGTCAGAGGACAACTTGCAAGATTTGGTTCTGAGGACTGAACAAAGGTGATCAGGTTTTGTGGCAAGTGCCCTTATCCATGAGCATCTTGCTGACCTGTAATGACATTTCATTGAAAACATGGACTAAAAAATAGGCACCAAAGGCCATAAAAATTAGTTTTATCCTTTTTGGTTCTAACTAAAATAGCCAAGGTAATCTCTAACAAAATGCTAGAACAGAAGTAGAGCTATCACTGGATACATATTTGATTCTTGTCTTTTTTTTTAATTTATTTATTTTTTTATTTTCGAGACAGGGTTTCTCTGTGTAGCTTTGCGCCTTTCCTAGAAATCACTTTATAGCCCAGGTTGGCCTCGAACTCACAGAGATCCACCTGCTCTGCCTCCCGAGTGCTAGGATTAAAGGTGTGCGCCACCACCGCCCGGCGATTCTTGTCTGTCTTAAATGGCTCAAAACTCAGAGCAGAGAGAGGTAAATTTAGTTAGCATAGTTGGATACTGATAGAAGCGCTAAATCTGAGTTTAATGTTCAATGATTAATAACTCATACAGAATATAACTATTCTAGGGATTCAATTATAAAAACAAAGTACTATACAACATGGGAAGTGATAGTAAAGAGACTGCATAGTATGCCTTAGAAGCAGAGCACAATGCAATTGTATCTGAGTGCCACTATTTCTCCTAGAAGTCACTAGCAAGACATGTGAAAACTGATATTCAGACAAGGCACAGCAGAGAATTATATTTGCAGAGGCATAATCTTGTGGAGTATACAGTTTTAGTAATTGTGACAAATATGGCTGAATCTGTCTGGAAAGTGTTGGTAAAAGAAGGAAGCTTAGTTCTAATAGTGAATGGAATGAAAATCTTCCCAGCCCACGGATTTTGTTCTATGGTAAATAAGAAACTCATAGATTAATGTAAGATGACACAACAGATGGCTTCTTGTTGATGCTTGTGGTTGATATATTGTGCACCCCAATAAACTTATCTGGGGGTCAGAGAACAGAACAGCCATAATATTAAACATAGAGGTTAGGCAGTGGTAGTACACGCCTTTAATTGTAGCATTCCAGAGGCAGAAATCCATCCAGATCTCTGTGAGTTCAAGGCCACACTGGAAACAGCCAGGCATGGTGACTCACGCCTTTAATCCCAGGAAGTGATGGCAGAAAGCAGAAAGGTATATAAGGCGTGAGGACCAGGAACTTAGAGCTGGTTAAGCTTTTAGGCTTTTGAGCAGCAGTTTGGCTGAGATCCATTTGGATGAGGACTCAGAGGCTTCCAGTCTGAGGAAACAGGATCAGCTGAGGAGTTGGAGAGGTGAGGAAGCTGTGGCTTGTTCTGCTTCTCTGATCTTCCAGCACTGACCCCAGTACCACGCTCCAGGTTTGTTTTTATTAATAAGACCTTTGAAGATCCGTGCTACAGATGCTGGTGTTGCAGTACTAGGGGGAATGGCTCAGAGTTTTGTGACAAGGAGAATTCCTGACAAATTATAGTAGTACTCCACAGAGTTAATACTATCCACTCCAGAAATGGAGTAAGAACTTACTCTACTACTAGGGTGGCTGAGCAGGAGTTGGGGTGGTAAGGTAGGCACCCCAGAGAGAACGCGGGAGGAAGCAGTGCTGACAAGAGGTGCTCAGTGATGAGATAACAATGTAGACTTAGGACACATCATGGACATAGGCACCCCAACTTTAGAGAGGGAAGAGGAAACAGAACCAGTGCAAGCAATGCTGGAGGACAGCCTGCAGCTGTGGGGGTCCAACTAGTGGGGGCAGGCGCGGCTGTCTGTGGAGCCGTTCTGCTTCCCTCCATGTTTTAAATTGGACTCTTCCTTTTTTTTTTTTCAGAATTGCATGGGCTCTTTGAGTATTGAATTATTAAATTCTTATTTCTGCTATTACATATAGATTGCTAGATTTTTATAGCTTAAATAAGACAAATTTGTTATCACACAGTTCTTAGAAGTAGATCAGCTGCTTATTCTCAAAGATCCCTCCAGCCCAAGTGCTGGGGATGGAATTCAGGGCCTTATGTGCAGAAGGTAAGCCCACCAGGCCCCACAGGGTTTAAGGTCAGAATGCTGGCGGTTTTGAGGGAGCTCTGGGGAAGATCCTGTTTCCTTGTCCTTTTCTACTCCCAAAGATGCTGTTACGCCACAGTCCAGTCCCTTCTCCCAGTTTCAAAGCCATCAGTACAGTATGTCGGATTTTCTCCAGGCCTTTACTTTACCCACCTCTCTCCTTTTCTCTTGTGATTACACTAAGCTCAACCACACAACCAGGATAATCTTGGCTGTGGAGCCTTAACTCAGGCACAACTGCGAAGTCTCTTTTGCCATCTAAGTTAACATATTCAGAATCCAGAGACTGGGACAAAGACATCTTTCTCCGTCTACCATAAATGGACACCAACAGTTCTTTGTCGGATTTACATTTGGTATTTTCCTCGAGGAATCTTCTTGTTTTGGATATCATTCTGTTGTCAGATATAAAACAGTGATTACTTTATTAGGGTCCATGTCTTGGTTACTCATTTATTTATTTTTAAATATTTATTTATTATGTATACGGTGTTCTGCCTGCATGTGTCCCTGCAGGACAGAAGAGGGCACCAGATCTCATCCTGGTTGTGAGCTACCATGTGGTTGCTGGGAATTGAACCTGGGTCCTTTGGAAGAACAGTTGGTGCTCTTAAACGCTGAGCCATCTCTCCAGCCCTTGGATACTCATTTATTAATCATCTTTTTTGAATGAGTTTGATGATGTCTGCCCAATCTCTTTTTCTCTTATGGCAATTGCTTTCAGGCTGTAGCTTCAAGATCTTCCCCAATTCCAAGAGGGAACGATCCTGTCCTTTTCTGCAGAAGGCTTGCAGCTTCGGCTCTTCCACAGAGCCTCATTTCAGGTTAGTATTGGTACGCTGAGGCTCACTGGCGTAAGGATGGCCAAGGCTTAGCACCACTTATTGAACAATTTCTTTTCTCCTACCCACTGCTCTGCTGCTTTTGTTCATGAGCAAACACGCATGTGCACGTGGGTCTGCTTCCGAGTTCAATCTCTGCCTCACTGTTGTGTGAGTCTTTACAGGACTACCGTGTACTAGCCAGACACTGTAATTTTACGATAAATGTTAAAGGCATACAACACCACTTTTGTAGTCCCCCCCCCTTTTTTTTTTCCAAATTCACTTTGGCTTTTGTTTTACAGTCTTTGAATTTTCATAAAGTGAAATATAGAAAGAGCATGTTGGAATTGTGTTTGAGACAAAATCAGATCATAAGGACAGAAATTATGATAGATTTCTTGACACTAAGGGAGAGGTCCCTTATTTTTCTTATGTGGTGATATTTTGTTTGTGCTCTAACAAATAAAGCTTGCCTGGAGGTCAGAGGAAAAAGCCAGTCACTATAGTAAACATAGAGGTCAGGCAGTGGTAGCACACACCCTTAATCCTAGCATTCGGGAGGCAGAGATTCATCCGGATCTCTGAGTTCAAGCCCACACCAGGAACAGAGATAGACGTGGTGGCATACTCCTTTAATCCAAGCACTAGTTAACCATAGAGGTCTGGAGGTCTGAACAGACAGACAGGAAGTGATAGAGCTGGGTGGAAAGAGGAAGTGATGTAGCTGGGCAGAGAGAAGTGAGATGGAAGGGCACAGAAAGGGATATAGGTGTGAGTATACAGGAAACAGCTCTCTCTTGGGCTGAGGATTTCCTCGTGGTAAGAACTTGTGGCTGGGTTGTTCTATTCCTCTGATCTGTCAATTTTCACCCAATATCTGGCTCTGGGTTTTTATTAATAAGACTGTCTAGCAATTCGTGTTTCATTCTTAGTATTTTGTGTCTTTTTAGTGTTTGTAAGCTGACTCCTAAGTATTCCATGGTTGTTCTTTTTTTATTGACACTACTCAAGGAAATTATTTGTATGTTAACTTTTCCAGTTGAGGGCTTCTAAATGAATGTGTGTGTGTGTGTGTGTGTGTGTGTGTGTGTGTGTGTGTGTGTACAGTGATTTCATATTTTGGTACTTAGGTGTAGTAGTCATTTCATTTGAAAATGTAAAGGCCGTCTTTTCCTTTCTGGTCTCCCTCCCCTCATCCTCCCCTCATCCTCCCCCGTCCTCCCCACCTTAGACTTGGAGTCTGCCTGCTCCAGCTTCGCCTGCTTCAGTTCCCTGAACAGCGTCCACGGTGTTGCACTTGACTTTGTCCTTTTTGGTAACTAACTAGGACATCTAAGTACCTAAGTCTGAGTTAAACCCAGCTCTGATCTTTATAAGATTATGCCTTCCTTCTGGCCTTATTTCATTAGTATGTGCAAATGCAGTTTACTATGCTGAGGAAGTAGAAACCCTTGCCCTGTTCTCTTTTTAATGGGGAACACATTCAGTGTTCACTCCACAGATTTAACAGTAGCCATGGCTTTTCTGTAGATTATCTTTCACAGAGAAACACTTCTATTACTAATCTGCTTAGACAAAATGACGTATGTCTAGTAAAACAATTATATGAATATGGAACATTTAGATAATAATGTGACATGAAAGGGAAGAGTGAAACATGAAAACTAGAAAGATAAACAGGAGCCTGACTCTATGAATTTGGTTGTTTTTGAAAAGATGGTCTTGCTATGTAGTCCATATTGGCCTTGAACTTCTGATCCTCTGACCTTAAAAGTATTGATTACTGGGTCTATGAATGTTCAGATCCTGGCCAGTATTTTGTGCTGTTTTAGTAAAGCAACAGAGAGACATTAAGCAGGCGTATGACAGGGTCAAGTCTGTATTCTACAAAGGCCATTGAAGAAGCTGCAGGTAACTCTGGAATGTCCTGAAGTTGTCAGACACTGACCGTGGCGATGGGAAATAAGACAACGATAGGAATGAAATAAAACATTGCTATAAAAAATATAACCCTTCCGTGAAGTGTATCCCAACTAATGAGAACCTCACATAGATTCTAATTCAACTCAAGTGAAGTTTAAAGACCCTTTTATAAGAAAGCCAATTCTGAATTTTGAACAGAAATAAGTACAGCTATAGTAATTGCTAATTTGAATGTTAACTTAAAACAACCCTTAAAATTTGAGACAAGACAGATGAATATGGTGGCACAGGCCTGTTTTCCCAGCTCTTGAGAGGCCAAGGCAAGGAAGTCACAAGTTCAAGATCAGCCTGGGCTAGTATGGGCTGTGAGAAATCTGTCTCAAAATTAAAACATATAAGAACAAAAAGGACAAATCCGACAAAGTCGTTTGCTAGAGTGTTCTGCTTGTATGCATAGGGCCCAAAGTTCAACATCCAGTCCACATGACATAAGCAAGGTGCAGTCAGTGTGCTCTGGTCATCAGCAACTGGGCTGGCAAAGGAAGGAGGATCAGGAGCTCAAGGTCATCCTTTATACAAAACAAGTTGAAACAAGTTTGAAGCCTTTCTGTCTCAAAAAAAAAAAAAAAAATCACGACAGTATGATGGGAGGGATAAACACATGAAAATTAAGCATCAAAGATTATAATGCAGTATACTACTGAATTTCATGTATCATCTCCCTTTTTAGTTATTTCTCATCTCCAAGGTTTAATTAATACATAACTGATGTTGGCTTAGATCTGGACATCTTCCTGCCTCAGTTTCCCGAGGGGAGGATAACAGGACGGTGTCCCATGCCCACTATCAGCTTTTGGTGTTGCTGGGGCTTTGGTTTTCACTGCTGTGCTAGGGACCAAATCGAAAGCTTGCACAGAGCAGAAGAGCACTCTACCAGTGAGCGACACGGCAGGCCCTGAGGTAGAATGTTTGCAAACTTTCTGTTCCTAGATCCTGACACAAAGAAAATTTAGTACTTATAGAATGAGTCAATTAAACACATAAAATCTATCAAATTTAGCCTGTTTATTCTTTTGGTTTTTCGAGACAGGGTTTCTCTGTGTAGTTTTGGTACCTGTCCTGGATCTCGCTCTTGTAGACCAGGCTGGCCTTGAACTCACTGAGATCCTCCTGCTTCTGCCTCCCAGTCCTGGGATTAAAGTTGCGTGCCACCACTGACTAGCTCGTATTTACTTTTTTGAGTCTAACTATTGAAAATTTATACCAAGTGTTACAGAAAATAGAGAGTACTCTTTACAAATGATCAGCACTTACATTTTAAACCCCTCTATACCAAGGAATTTTTAGGAAGGATGCTAGCTTTCCTGTCATGGTCCAAGTAAAGATGTGGGGCAGACTTACTCTCTGCTGTTTGCATTATTATCTCGTCAAGCTCTTTTTCCAGCTTCTCGTAAATGTCTAACCTCGCCTGATGCTCGGAGTTCTGTGCTTCGAGTTCAGTAATGCGTTTTTCAGAAGAAGACTGGAGACTATAAAATTCTTTAGTTAAAACCTAGTAGTGGAAGAAGAGAACGACAAAAGTTCAAAGAGGTAAGAATTCCTCAGGCTCACACTAAAAGAAGAGATGATGCAGAGACATATGTATGCTTTTTCTCCTTCAGCTACTCAAATGTTAAGAAAAAGCTCCTCAACTACAAGGACTAATGAGGAAATCATGAATTTACTGCCAAGTAAAAAATTCTGGTGCTTTTAACTGGAGGTTATAAAATGCTTTGTCAATAATTATATATGCTGAATATAAACGAATTTAGGGGCAAAATTAACATTTGCTTGTTAGAATTCAAACAGATGCAGCGTGTGAAATCTACCTAAGATCAGTTAGGAGGCAGTCAGCACAGAGCTGTATAAAAACAATGTGAGGAGCTCTCCAGCTTTCCATTACTCAACCTGCACTGTCCAGCTTTTAGCATTTTTGGTTTCCTAACAGGCTTGAGTCCAAATCAAAAAGTAAATGTAAGTTCCACATAGGGCAACAGCAGAAATGCCTTTGCAAAGAAAGGTTTCTTAAAAAGTCTTTGAGAAGGATCAAGAGATGCAAATTCTTTGATTATTATTACATAAGTACATGACAACCTGCTGAGTCCATTTACCAACCTTTTTTAAAGCTGGTGTGGGGCTTGCCAGGCAGCGTGGCAGGTAAAGGCACTTACTGCAGTAAGTCTGGTGCCCTGAGGAGTTCAGTCCTGTGACCATATACAGGTGGCAGAGAACGTACACAACTGTCCTCCAACTTTCACAGATGTGCAGTGGCACAGATGTCCACACAGACACTCGTCATTCACACACACAATAAAAATAAATTCAAAAACTTATTTTGCCAGGCATGGTGGTGCACGCCTTTAACTCGGGAGGCAGAGGCAGGCGGATCTCTGAGAGTTCGAGGACAGCCTGGGCTACAGAGCAAGGTCCAGGACAACCAGGGCTACACAGAGAAACCCGGTCTCTGAAAACAAAAAACAAAAAAATTATTTTACGTTTATTTTATGGTGTCAGGGATTGTGCTTGTGAGGCAACAGCTTTGCCACTGAATTACGTTCACAACCCAGTAATAAAATTGATAAGAGTCAGTGTATATAGTTATATGAGGAGCTCTATCCATCTACTATGAAAAAAGTATATTTGATATCTTATGAAATCCTAAAATATCCCTTGATTCTATGACACACAGCTGTTTTTAATCTCACCATAGTGAGATTTATAGTGTCAAGTTCTTCACTATTATAAATAACACTGTGATGAGTATCTGCTCATGAAGCATTTTACATATTTTACATATTTAAAATACAGCCTAACAAATACACAGTGCCAAACTGTTTTCCAAAAACAATATGCTCATCTAGAATGTACAGATCTTTTAAAGTAGCGCTGAATGATAGATCAACAAATACAAAATCCATACATTTAATAAATTACAAACAAATCTTAGAATTGATTTACATTATAATTTGGGGAAATGCTTTACTACTTGATTAATTTTCAATTATGAAAGGTTTAAAGTTTTTTTAAACCTTAAAAATTCTTTTGGATTTTATTTTTCTGTGTATGAGTGTTTTGCCTACATGTCTGTCTATGCCAGCAGAGGCCAGAAGAGGGAGGGCACTGGATCTCTGTAACTGGAGTTAGAGAAGGTTGTGAGGCACCAGGAGGTGCTGAGAACAGAACCCAGGGCCTCTGAAGAGCAGCCAGCACGGTTACCTATGAGCCACCTGTCTCTTCAGGCCCCAGGAAAGGCTTTCAATTGACCAGTTTTCAGTTTCATTATCTTCCATTTTGTATTGACCTATAATTGCATGTTTTCATAACTAAGTACATTCATATGCAGAAAGAAAAACTAGAATTGTAAAATGCGTAGGTTTAGCTGGCATCCAAATACCATGTATTTTAAAATGTAATAAATATTTCCTCTCACTTCTTTAGAAAATTCTTAAGAAATATTGACTAGTCTCTATCTATTCTTCCACTTGTACCACAGAATTAGTTTGTTGGATTAAAAAAATATGCTGGAAACTGGCCAGTAAGACGGCTTTGCTTCCCAAGTGAAAGAACTGATTACTGAAAGTTGTCCTCTGACTTTCAAATGCCCTCTACCTCGCGCTCGCGCGCGCACGCGCGCGCGCACACACACACACACACACACACACACACGTAAACAAATGTAAAATTTTAAATGCTAAAATAGTAGAAAGTTTTCTTGATGAAAACTGGAAAACATAAAATCCCAACTATCCCCTTTCAAAAGGACTGTGTTTTGTCTCATACACACCATTATACTTCTATCATTTTCTTCATAGTGACTTCATTTTTCTTACATAAGAATTCCCAGTAATTGAAAGCTTTTGGTTGTTAGTATTAAAGAAACCATTTCTAAATTTTTTTGAAAAACAATTTTAGTCATTTTTGGTGCATATATTTCTGCTATTCAGATATCTTTTCTTTCTGTTTTTGAAACAAGGTCTCATTACATAGCTCTGGCTGGGTATGTGGGCCTCAGTCAGACCTGTCACCTGTCTCAGACTCCAATGTGCTGGGATTCCAGGTGTGATAACTCCTCCTGCCTTAATTTCCTCATTTTCTTGTGAGGATAAGATAGAGTTCTCTAGGAAGAATGAGGCTCTATGTAAATACCATACTTTGGAAGCTTATGTCAAGGGAAAATTGCAGAAAGGTACCTCTAATTTCTTCTGGTATTTTTCACATTCCAACTGGCACTGTGTGAGATTTCTTGCAGTTTCCTCTTGCAGGAGCTGAACACGTTCACTTTCAAAGGACTTCAGCTTACTCTGATGGAGAAATTCAGATACTTTGCTTTCTGTACTCAGCTGGAGCTCTCTGTATCTGAAAGAAAAGAAGGTGATGGGTATCTAGAGTAGCTGAGAGGGTTTATGGGAGCACCGACCTCACTTCTACTTTCCACACCACCATATTATGTTCACACAATCAATACTTTATCTTTATTCAGAAAAGCTTTTATCATTTAGTTAGGCATATGTATGGGGGGAATATGTACTATAAATATCTACTTGAATATTACATGGAATTTATGTGCCAATTATCAAATGGTATATTTAACAACACAGATGGGCCATTCTCCTAATTTCATAAGTATAACTGTAATAAAAACAATTCTAATTAACATACAAGTATGCTATAGCATACTCCAAGTTTGAAAATATTCCATGTTGATTGTGTTCTAAGAGAAAGCAAAGCAGACACTGTACACTTTTTCACAGAACCCCTATGAATCTAGGAAAATGTTATTAAAATTCACTTACTCAAATAGTGAGCTAGTATCATCTGTAAGAGATAATGGGACTACACTAGACAAAAGGTTGTTCTTTTCCTCTTAAGGAACTTACAATTTTCTGGGGAAGATAGGAAAATAAACATGAAAATCCAAGAGTGGTATGATTGGTTCAATATGATAATCTTGAGGTTATGGGAACACACAGAAAAGAGACCAACTTTCTCTCTCTGGTGCCATGTGTGCGTGTGTGCGTGTGTGCGTGTGTGCGTGTGTGCGTGTGTGCGTGTGTGTGTGTGTGTGTGTGTGTGTGTGTGTGTGTGTGTGTGTAATCTAAGCACTCGGGCTTTAATGCACATGCTGAAGGCCACTTCACTCTTGGCACACCATCACCTTGGGAAATAGTGTCTCACATGCAGGCTAGAGAAAGCTCCAGGCAGTGCATATGCTATACCTTGTAACAGCAAGGCTTTAAGAAAAAGTCAGCTTTAACGCTGTTTTGGAAAGCCCTAGCATTATATGTGAAAAGTTCCAACAATTCCATTAGAAATACTGTTTTAGGGGTTGGAGGGATGGTTCCGCAGGTAAATGCTTGCTGCAGAAGCACAAGGACTTGAGCTCCCATCCCTCGCATCCCCAAACACAGCCCCGATGGTACACATTCATCATCTCAGCACTGGGGAGACAGACAGGAAGCTCTCTGGTGCGTGCTGCTACACAGAGCAGCTAAATTAGTGAAGTTCAGTGAGAGACCCTGCCTCAAAAAGTAAAGTCAAGAGCAACCGAAGAAGACACTTGATAGTGACCTCTGACCTCCACAACCATACACAAGTGTACATTGTGCCCTCAATACATGTGTACACAAACATGTACACACATACTTTTTTATATGGAGAAGCACATATAGGTAAAATGATATGTTGAAATATAGTTCATAAACCACAAAGCTCACCCTTTTAGGTAAGGACAATTCAAGCGTATTTAATAAACTCACAAAGTTACGCATTTGATACAACATTTGTAGTGTGTATACATGTGTGAAGGTCAAAGGTAAAGCGTGCACACCATTCCTTGGGAACTTCCCATTGTGAGTTATGAGACCAGGTCTCCCTGAGACCTCTCACTGATCAGGCTAGGTTGGCTGGCCAGCAAGTTCCACATTCAGGGATCTTCTTGATTCCTTCCCAGTGCCGGGGATGACAAGTACGTCTCCCCAAGCCTGGCTTCATGGTGTGTAGCTTTCGGAGTCATTCTCTACCCATTCTTTCTCTGACTTCAACAACTACTAATTTTTTTAAAAATAAATTTGCTTACTGTGAATGTCTCAAATAGATTCATATACTTAGTCTTGTTTGATGTTTTCAAGTCTCCCTCGTGTTGTAGCATGAATCAATACTTCATTTCTTCTTATGGCTGAATAACATGCCACTTTATGGATATACCATATTTGTTTATCCATTTAACAGTTGATGAGCATCTGAGCTGTTCCTGCTTTTGGTCTATTATGAGTAATGCCACTATGAACCTTTGTATGCAAACTTTTATAAATACGCTTTCATTTCTTGAGTCAAAAGGAAACCCTATTAACTATTCGAGGAATTATCAAACTATTTTCCAATAAAATTGTATCACTTTATATCCCATCAGCAACAAAAAGCATGACAGTTTCACCAATTTCTTTTAACCTTTATCAATGTCTACGTTATTACAGATATTCTAATGGGTTTGAGTGATACATATTTATCATGCTCAAAAATTTATTAATTCAGTATTTTACTGCAATGGAAATGTCTCTTTACTCTATAGGTCAGGTTGTATTGCAAATTTAAATGCATAAAACACATCATCTAGCATGATGTCACACACCTGTAATCTCATATTGGGGAGCATGAGGATAGGGAACTGAAGGTCATCCTAGCTTACATAGCAAGTTCAAGGCCAACCTAGGATTTTTTGAGACTGTCTCAAAAAAAAATCAACCCATGCCAACCAACCCCACACACCATCATGTCAATACTTTTTCTGAATGCCAAACTGCAGGACATATATAAACCACGTAACTCAAGTAGATTGGAAAAGCAATTGAGAATGAGGTGCTGACCTTTAAGGTAATTTGTTTTGGAAAGACTCATCTGAGAAATTGGTCTTTTATGGGTTTAGACCACTTTAGGTGTTTTTGATACCAATGGCAGCTTTAAACATGCAATTAGACTAGCTCTAAGCACCACTTGCTCTTATCCACTACCTGGCACCTGAAAATTCAGTTCAGCTTTCATGTTCTTTCTCTGTATGAAAACACAAAGCAGCAGACACCATTCAGACACTTGGAATACAGGCAACTCAACAACAGAAAACAAGAAATGTCTCCTAGAAATCCGAGTTCAGTTTAGGAACGGAGCTTCTCCAAAACCAAATGGTAATTCTCAACACTAATTGATTTTCATATCGTTTTACCAGGGAAAGAACTTGCCTTCAGTCATTATGTCTTTGTAATGGTCTTGATTATTTTAATTTGCTAAATTGACCTGAGAAACGCTGAGCAAACATAATAGCTACAAAAGCAGGTCTAACAGTGAGGAACTAACTGATGACGTCAAGAGCCCGGCCTGCAGTTTCAGGTAACGCCCACTTAACTTGTTTTGCTCACATAACCTGTTGCGTTCTCCCGTGCTGACTCAGACCTCTCATCTCCGCCTCTCACACTGCACACTTACTTGAACCCAGTCAGTACTGTCCACACAACAGCTTCATGTTTGGCATTCTACTTGAGCAGAGTAACCTTGAGAGGTCAAATTTCCTATGACGCGCAACCAGAATCTCTGCCTCTCCTCGCAGCCATCCTGTCCTGAGCCTGGTATCTGGCTACATTTGTCCTTATGATGTATTTGTAACTGGTTCTAGTTTTCATAAGAGCCACCTAGACATTAAACACCACTTCAAAGCAAGAACAGAAAGTCTTAGAATGAACTGTTTAAAGAAATAGTCACTGCAACAGAAAGTTAAGAGCTAGAAGAACAAAGAGCAAAAAGGAGAAGCAAAAATCTGCTGTTACATAGGAAGTTACAAGAAAGTTAAACCTCAACAAAAGTTTTCCAAGTTGGGGCTGGGGGGAGAGCCGGTCAGTAGTGTTTGCCTCACAAGCATGAAGAGGCGAGTCGCATTCCTAGAGTCCCGGGAAACCAAAGCTAAGTGGGTGGTCTGAGCTTACAATCCCAGTCCCGAAGAGGCAGAGTCAGGCAGATGTCTGCGGCTCAGCTAATACTGTATTGTGTGGAGAAGAAACCCAACCCAACCCATAGAACACCAGAAGAACGACACTTGAATTTGTCCTTTAACCCCGAGAAGTGCCTGTACAACGGGGTGCACACAGCACACACGCATGCCCAGCACAAATTAAGGGGTCGGGGGGAAGTGCTGGCAACGAGATCATAATGCTAAAAACCAGACCTTTGCCCTGGTTTTCTTTCCTTCCTTCTTCTTTTTGCCTCTCCATGACAACTCTTTGAGATAGGATCTTCCCCAGGTTAGGCTGGCTCTGGGCTCACTGTGTAGGGCAAACAAGACCTTGCATGCTGATCCTCCTACTTCTACCTCCCCAGTGCTGAGATTACAGGGGTGTGCCACTGCACCAGGAGTCATTTATTTCCGCTCCTTCGGCCTCCCCTACCTCTCCTTCTCCTTCTCCTTCCTTCCTTGCCCTTTTCCTTCCTTGTTGGCAACTGAACAGACTCAAGCGCTCTGCTTCTAAGCCTCATTCTTCCCATTATGAAACTGATTTCATTTCAGTTCTTCATTCAAATGAGAAATAACTGCTTTTTCAACTTGGCCTACAAAATATTTATGGCTCCCCTACATTAAAATTGGACATGTATTCGGGAACACAACTACCTAATCTCATTTTGTAGATAAGCAGTGTATGGCAAAGTACCCAAAATGTATTGTATTCAGTGGTAATGTTCACGCAATCAACACAACCAGGAAATGATCCACATACTAGGAAATTTACCAGCTGCTCCTGTTTGGAAGCAGGACGATGAAATGGTTGAGGCAGAGCACTTGTTTGAATACAGCAGGACAACAGAGTATAGAAAAGGGAGGGCGGAGGGTGGATGGTGGTGGTGCACACCTTTAATCCCAGCACTCGGGAGGCAGAGGCAGGCGGATCTCTCTGAGTTCGAGGCCATCCTGGGCTACACAGAGAAACCTTGTCTCGAAAAACCAAAAAAAAAAAAAAAAAAGAAAGAAAGAAAAGAAAAGAAAAGAAAAGAAAAGAAAAGAAAAGAAAAGAAAAGAAAAGAAAAGGGAGGCCGGACCTCCTGACTCCAGGCAGGCAGTTTGGTGAAAATTAAGCACAGTGGCAGCATGAGGGAGGGATTCTCAGGAGCTGCAGGAAAAGCGCCCGCAGACAAGGCAACGCTGCTACAGTGCTTTAAGATGGCCACTACAGGGCCATCTTCTAATTCTATAAGTGACTGGGGCAAAGGCTTCTGGAACTGTTCTGTACTTGAAGGCAATGCTTCAACACAGAAATGTCCCTGGACCTCCAGCCTTTGGTGCAGTTAGCTGTAGGAAATGGGAGCTGACAAGAGCAGAA